TAAACGCATATACACAATAAACATACATGCGTTGAGTGGAATTCGAACCCACGATTCCGACTTCCGAGCGAACGAAGACAGTACATGCCTTAGATCGCTTAGGTTTAAAAACGAAACATCTAGGAACAACATTAGCAAACAGAAATTAGGTTCATAGTGAAATTAGGAGAACATGTTCTCGAAATAACGGTTAGTATTAATTTTTAAATTCCTTTAAAATCATACAATTACAATACGTACAACCATTACAAATAACACTAATCTAGTTTCTTCTGTATTACTACGTATGTACCACCGAGGATGACACTGTAAACATCGAAAACATGTCGGGATAATAATGAATTTAAACAAATTTAGAGAACTTATGTTGTAACTGAATGTACTGTGATAATACACAACGCTATGGATTACAACGATGCACAACTAAACGTAAGAATATGTAAAGTCAGTCAGGCTAAGGTAAAGTTGTCCCTGTTCTATTAAGTAATTGGGCACTACGTCATAAATATGTATATACCCACGTATTCTTGACCTGCGCACTAGTTGAAGGTAAATGGTCAGCTTGACGCCCCGGCCGCTTTACCCCCGGGGAAAGATCCCCCGATACCCATTGGGTAGGAGGCTGGGTGGACCTCAGAGCCGGTCTGGACGATGTGGAGAGGAGAAAAATCTTGCGACTACCGGGACTCGAACTCTGACCCATCATCCGTCCAGCACGTTACCAGTCGCTATACCGACTGTGCTATCCGGGTCTTCCTCAGTCAGACTAACCGCTCCTTCCAATTCATTAATACTAAAAAGTCTAGCTGCAACCACAGAAAACATAAGAGCCCCTGCCAAGTACAACCCCACGCTTATACAGCTTAGATGAAAGGATTCTTTTGAATCTATTCACCACAGAGTCTCTTTACATGGTTTTGAAACACGAATCTCTGACGTGCATACAGGAATTTAATACATGTTGTGATGTATGACGTCACTGTACATATAAGACTGTTATGATAAGTTCTTTTAAAATTACGTACGATCATGAAAAATAGCCCTCAGCTAATTTTCTTCTCTATTACTAAGTACGTACCATTGAGAATGATAGTGTAAATGTCGAAACATGTTGAGACAACGATGAATTTAAACGAATTTAAAAAATGTTGTATCTTAGCATCTTGTTGCAGCTGGTATTAGAATTCATTTTATAGTTTAATTTACCGTCCAGCATACGTGGTGAATGGTAAACAGAACTGTATCAAATGATAAATACGAACAAACTGTGTTAAAAACGAATTATTATGGCAATAAACAATAATAAAGAGATGATAAACATTGTTATTTTTTAGTTTACATTAAAAAATGCCGAAGCCAGTTGTTTCGTGCGAGAGTGAACGGACTTTCATATTTCAGGTAAAAAAAAAAGGCAAAGCTATCCCCGTAACAGGCCGTGGAGGTCCATAGGGCTGTGAGACGTCGAGGTTCCCATATTTTCTAGACAATCGGCTAACAGACAGCGGTGAGGTTGTCAGCCTTACATGCAGACCGCCCTTTACTCCCAGGAGGATTCCTGGTACTCAATTCTGCTAGAGGCTGAGTCAAACCCAGGGCCATAGTGCGGCTGAAAAGATTAGGTCACCTGGAAAATCTAATGACTTCATCGGCAATCGAACATGCTACCTTCAGTCTTGTACCATAATGTCTCAAAGTAAATTAAGGAGTACAAAAAAAGTCGCTCAGAAAATCAGTTGGACCTAAAAGAATGAAGCAAGTACGCACTTATTCATATTACATAACGAAGAAATTACGGTTTCTACAGGTCACATAGCGTTTTAGGATAGTGAAATGTAGGAATGCACTGTCTGAGTCATGAACTGTCTTCGCTGGCTCGAACACTGGAATCGTGGGTCCGAATCCCACTCAAGGCAAGGATGTCTGTGTGTACAGATAGCGGCCTTGCGACGGGCTGATCATCAGTCCAAACTGTCCTACCGACTGCGTAAAAAAGATTCCGAAACTGAAGAAGAGGCCAGGGCCCAACAAAGCTTGTAGAGCCATTGGAGAATGAATGACTGAATGAAAAAGATTACGATGAACAATGTCTTAAACATAAAAGACACAAGGATACATACACAATTTATATGGGGAAGCTTTTGGAAAACGTGCATTTGGAATACTAATAAGGTAACAGTGAGACAGACCTGAGGAGGATACAGCATTAAGATCATGCGCAATGCAGGGTCTACTAGTGTGTGTACTGAGCAGACAGGCTTTGCTACCAAGATCATGACGATGTAGTGACGGAGATGAACCCTATCTTGCGGTTAGACGTACAACAGATACACAGGTGCAGGGACATAGCAGATTACATCAGGCAGCTCCTACAACCTTTTCGGGAATCAATACAAAATGATGACGCTACTGAAACAAATGAAATGCACACGGTTTGGAACTCATTTCCTCACTCTCCAACTGTCACCTTGTGGGGAGGAATACTGCACTGGTATCGATCTGTTTCTGTAACGACTCAAACACTCAACTGAGGACTGAGACAGGCTAACTCAGACGGTCACTGGAGTGATGATCCTACTATAAACTCTATCAGACGCCAGTAAAGAGGTCGGAGTACAAGCGAACGAAAGGAACACTACTTACACGTTCACATCTCGTCAACTGAATGCAGGCTAAAATCATAACACATAAAGAAAATTAATAAATCCTTAAAAAAAACGGTAAAGTTAAAATACTAGAGAACGACAGTAAAGAACAGATCATATCTGGGTAATGATTCTTTCAATTAAGTTCAGAATCCTCTGGTTACCAGCCCCACATATGAAAATCTAGAACTTAAAATATACGAAACGGTAATTCTAACAGTTTGTATTGTATGGGGGTGAAACTCGGTCTTTCCCCCCCAAGGGATCATCACTATCCTCTTCTCAGCTGTTCTTTAGTCTATGTTCATAGACTGATGATAGTTGAGAACGGGTCAGTGATGAGAATATTTGGACCAAGGCGAAATGAAGTTACCTGCGTAATGGAGGACTCGGCAACACGCACTCTTCATGAACACAAGAAGGAGCAGATGGGAGAGAAATACATATAACATTTAAATAACAAAACTTAAGTTAAGAGACCAGTTGGAAGACCTAATGATAGAATGACAAATAATATTAAAATTAAATCTTAAAGATCTCTGGCTTGAGGGTGTATGCTGGATTGAAATGGCTCAGGACAGGAAACAATAGCGAGTCAAATTTTGTGTATATGGTAATGAACTATCCGTCTCCATAAAAGGCGGAGAAGTTCTTTATCAGGTTCACAAGATCTGTGTTCCATGGACCAGTATAGAATAATGGGTGTAACTTTCACGATATCTTATCCGCTCGCTTCCTCAAATTCTCTGCTGGATCGACTTTCCTCTAATCGCTTTCACTTGCGTACCTCATAAGGAGTAAAAGTAGAGAAACGACAAGCAACGAAGAATGAATCTGTACAAATAAGTTACAGTACACGATCTTTTCTGTCTTTCCAGTTGCATTCTCCCACGTGTGTCTAGTAATAAACAAAAACGTGGCACTTCAACCTCTTTACTTATATTTGAAAGTTAGCGCACAGCAAGAAACAGCAAATGGGGGGGGGCTACCCCCTGTAACAGGCCGTGGAGGCCCATACGGTTGTGAGACGTCGAGGCTCCCACATTTTCTCTAGACAATCTTCTCACAGATGGCAGTGAGGTTGTCAGCCTTAGGCGCTGGCCGCCCTTTACTCTCAACCTTCCTGGTACTCATTACTGTTAGAGGCTGAGTCGACTCCCAGGGCCATACTGCAGCTGTAAGGATCAGGTAAATCGAAAAAAAAAATCCAATGACCTCATCGGGAATCGAACCTGCGACCTTCCAGCATGTAGCAGTGACCAAGTGACCAAGCACTCAGGAGAAGGCGGTGTCATATTACAGAAGTTATATATATATAATATGGCGAAATACTCTGACGCATTGCTAGGCAACGGGTCGCTAAACACATTACGGAGGCAACGAATACGCAGGCAATAATATAAGATCTGCCGTGTCTATGCAACGGCCGGTAAACCCTGATATAATAATACGCGTCGAGACTGGTTGCTAGGCAACTGCGTAATATACGAGTCTCCACAACAATAGAATAGGTTTTCTATGTGGTCCGTGAGTGACTATATACCGAGACTCGACACCAAGACTGACTGACTGACTGACTGACTGGCTAACAGTCAGTCGCAATGTGACTTTGACTTTGACCAGACTGATTGGAACCCGTGTGGAGGTGGGGTCGATTACCTCCACCGGGACCCTGCGAGTTGTTGGAGGCGACGAAAAGGGAAGTCTCAAATCTCAGACAATAAAATATGGTCGCGAGTTCCAAGGGACTGGGACCCGAGAAAGACTGCGCTGGCAAGGGCAAGCAGCATACGAGTATATAAAAGACAGACCCATCCTCTCTTCAGAGGGGCGTCCCACAAAAACAAAACCGTAAACGTCAAACAATTATAAATATCTTGTCATGAGCTCCAGATGGGGCTCGACACCAAGACTGACTGACTGACTGACTGACTGACTGACTGGGCGACTGACTGACCGTGAGTCGCAATACGACTTTGACTTTGATTAGATTAATTGGAGAATTGAGTCGACTTCTGGAGGGTAACAATCAATGGTGATTGAATAAGAAATGGCAAGAAGGCTTCCTGGTGATCCGAAGAGACAGTTCTTGTGTTCAAACCCGTTGCCAGGAAAAGGATAGTGAAAACATTGTAAAGGCATAGCCACTGTTGAAATCTGTTACTTAGTAACGATTATTTAAAGCAGATATAGAAGACTTTAGTTTATATGTTATAATTACAGTAATCTTTAGAGTGTTATGATTACTTGTACTTACGACTGGTGAGTATCCAATAAATCGGTTCACCAATTCAAACCCCGTCTACAAGTCACTAATACAAGTGGCAATACTTAACGTAAAATTGCAAAGAAACTTTCCACCGTGTCCTTTCATTTTTACATTTTTTCTCCTCCAACTGTAAACGAAACGGTGAGGACTAAAGGTAAAAATAGAAGAACTTTAGTACAATTTCAATGTTTTATTTCAAGCACATAGTAGCTGACTGACCTTAAATTAGGAATAAAGCGAAATTTAAAATTGTCACATTTCTGACAATCTCGTTAAAGCACACGTAACTAAGAAACTGCGAGTCCTTCATCAGAAGCTGCTACCGATCAGTGTGGACTAACGGCAACACTCTAGCTTCGCATTCGAGACGTGCTCGGTTCGAATCTCGACCGCCGCCCACCGACTATCCTGATTTTTCGTGCTTCTCCTCAGTCCCCCATGTAATTCAGAGATTAGGCCACGGTCACTTCCTTCCAGATCCTTGCCAGTCATCCTACCAATCGATACTACATAGTCTAGCTAGCGACACTGTCGTAAAGCTTCCAATAAAAACAGAAAGAGACAGCCACTCAGCTGATCAAGAAATTCCCCACATTTTATATAACCATATATATATATAACCATAAGGTTCATTATCGTGTGCCCACCGCTAGATCCTGTCCTAGGTCAGCTGGAACCAGCCCACATCTCGAATCTCCATTTCCTTAAAAGCTACTTTATGTGCTGAAGAAATCGTTGGAAGTGCTTCGTGAAAGATGTAACTTGACAATTGGGCCATAAAATACCTTCCAGCACATAATATCTAAATTACGAAGGTTCAGTATGCAGTGACTCACAAGTCTACATATCACTTCTCAGGAGAATGCAGAGAGACAGTGACAGGGCTGCCAACACAATTCCACAGGCCGACATCTCGACCATTTCATCTCCAGTACTGAACTCGTCCACTATTTGGAAGAGGTTGAGCCACGCCGTCTCAGATTCATCAGGTGACGTCATCAGCATCCAGAATCTGCAACCACAACAGAATTTCCATCGCTTATATAGCAGCAGAGGCTCCAACAACTAGGGACCGGATGTGAATGCAAACGAAAATTTCTTTCTTGCAACCAAAAGTGTGCTCATTTGGATATATGTATGAATTACTTCACTTCTTAAATTGTTGACATGGTTTGATTGTGCATGTAAATACATATTTTGCCTATTTTACGGTTAAGAATAATATTTTCGAAGATATCTATGCGGCTACTTTATTTTAAAAATATTTATCATTATATAATTCTTAATTTTCGGTAGCGTAGTTGGTTAAGGCACTATGCTACAAGCTGGAAGGTCGCGGGTTCAAGTACCGATGAGGTAATTGAATTTTTTTTTTCAATTGACCTAATCCTTCCAGCCGCACTATGGCCCTGGGGTCGACTCAGCCTCTAACAGAGTATTCTTGGAATATTCTTGGGGGTAAAGGGCGGCCGGCGCGTAGGGCTGACAACATTGCTGCCATCTATGAGCCGATTGTCTAGAAAATGTGGCAACCTCAACATCTCACAACCATATGGGCCTCCACGGCCTGTTACAGGGGTACCTTTACTTTACTTTTTTTTTTTCAATTCGCTTAGTGGGGGGTAGAATCCAACTGTGTCCATTCGGCACGGCGGCCACTGATTTGCCTATTGTAGCCTGCCCAGGTGATTATGATGATGGAGAATTTGGTGGAGTGAATATTGGCTAGGGGAACCGAAGTACTCGGAGAAAACCCGCTCCAGCGCCACTTTTTCCACCACAAATCCCACTTCACCAGACCCAGGATCGAACCCGGGCCGCCGCGGTGGAAAGCCAGCGACTAACTGCTTGAGCTATGGCGCGGCCAAGGAGAGATGATAATTACTGATAACAATTTTTTTTATTGCCGAGCATGTGACAAAAGCTTTCAAATGCTTCAGCAAAACACTGATATAAACAAATAGAATATTAAAAATAAATCCACGAAAAGTGCTCCTGTTCAAAAATTGATTAGTGAATTTTCTAATAGGTTTTTTTTTTCACATTGCTGCTTTGACTTGTAAGAAGCCTTTTTAGCGGCAGATTGTACCGTGTTGCAGATTGTACCTTGTTGCAGAAACAATTCGTGCAAATTTTCCGCATGTTGACAAGTTGGTGTCTTCTGTGAAGAAGGTGTCTGTTAAAGCGCCATACAGAAAAGAAGCCTTTAAAGCAGTAGCACCGAACGTTCCACTTCCTTCTGAACCAATTTTTACGCGCTCGGTCACGTGGCTGTGTGCAGCGAGTTATTATACCGAACATTTAGAACCGGTTAGGAATGCCGTGAATACATTTGATCCCAAAAGTGCAGCATCAATTCAAACTGCCCAAGATGTACTAAAAACGCAGAACCAGAAACTAATCTTTTCTATATATCTGCTCACTTCTCTCATCTTCCATCCGCCATTTCCTGACCGGAGGCAAGCAACAGCAATACTACTTTGTATCAATCGTTAAGTGTATTCAAAAACCACTCTTTCCAAATTGAATTCGGTTCCTGGAGTTGGTAAAATAGTAAAGGAAAAGGCATACAGCATTCTTTAAAAAACCCCGAGATGTGAACAAATTTGTGAAATTGAAGAAATTTTAGCCGGTAAACGTACTGAACTACCAAGTAAAAAACCGCTAACAGTGGAGCAAATAGCGGCTTTTGTACATGCGCCCCTAAGTTCCTGTGAGGTGGAAAGAATTTTCCCGCTATAAGGACATCTTACGAGACAATAGGAGACGATTAGCTACGGAAAACCTAAAATATTTAATAACTGTCAACTGCAACACAAGATAAGGTGAAAGCTTGGAGAAATAAATGCGAGTATCATTAGCTTTTTAATTTGTGATGAAAAAATGCTGGCTTTGTTGCATGATTTGCATTTATGTATAACTTTTCATTGCAAGCGAATCATTCAGCGATCACATAAAATTAACTTAAATGTTGATTTGCTGGTCTTAAAATAATGTAAAATCGATTTTAATATTTGTTATGAAATTCTTATATGGATATTTTGGAAGTTTTTCATGCATAAATGTGTACACATTTAATGGATTATTAGGGTATAAAAATCAGATCCCTACGTTTCTGGTGGTTGGAACTATTTACTCATAATACAGACTTCAATGTTTCGAATCTTGGTTGAATGGTCGGCCATTCTGACAGGATATTTGTTGTCTTCCTTTGTCAGCAGACACAATAAATAAAATGTCTGAGTTTAATTTTTCGTCGGATGTATCATCCTTACCTAATTATCGTCCTCTTCTTCAGTTCCTCCAGACGAATGTTAGAAGAGTACTTGAAACAGGCAAACATCATCATCTTTCAAATTCCCCCCCCCACACTCACAACTCACGGTCATTTTAGAATCTGTCAACGCTATACAACATGTTAACACTTTCTAAAGGACCCAGCAAAGCAGATCCCTCCCTGAGGACGGAAACAGATCCAGTTTCCGAAGAGTTGTGTTCTTTAAAATACTGGACGATGGACAACGTTCACAAACCTCTGTAAACCCGAGGGTTAATCTGACAATCTAAACTAAATGAACCTAACCAAACCTAACATAAGTGAATCCTGCATGATTGCGAAGGTGGACGCGAAGGATGGCCAGTGGTCTAATACAGAGATCTGATCTGACATATCCAAACCTAACCCAATTTAACTTAGCCTAACGCAACCATACACAATTTGTCTCAGCACTGCCCTGGTATACGAGTAGTTGTTGAGTTGTATGCGCAGGTTAGTGCGCAGCTAGGATCACTTCATGCTATTTGGGCCGGTGATTTATTCAACTGCGCGTAACCTAAACAGTATAAAATCCATTAAGGTTTCTATTCTATTCTATTCTATTCTATTCTATTCTACCTTTCTTGTTTTACCTTGAAAAGAGACCTACAGCGTGTGACTTTAGCACGGAATAACACAGTGTAGAGTTTTAACATAATTTAATAAAATATTTGTAACACATCAAGACACCTGAAGATGGCCGTTGGGGGCCGAAACATGTTGTGTTAAAGTGTAAAATGTTAAACTAAAATTAAGATTAAGTGGTGAATGAACAAGTGTTGCAATACTGACGGACGATACATACATGGACGTTAAGTTGAACAATTGCAACAGGATGCTGAAATACATAATATCAACGGTATAGTTAATATACACGACGTTTCGGAAATTAATTCTAGCTAAAATCATATATACTTCATTGTAGGAGACGGGCTAGCTCAGTCGGTATAGCGACGAGCTAAGGGCTGGACGACTTGAGTTCCATTCTCCGCAGTACAAGATTTTTCTCTGTTCTACAGCGTCCAGACAGGATCTGAGGCCTGCCCAGCCTCCTTTTGAATAGGTACCAGGGACTCCTTCCCCGGGAGTAAAGCGGCTGGGGCGTGAAGCTGACCACTCACTTCCGTCTAGTGCCGACGTCAAGAGTAGTGGAGCTATATCTCTACTCCCCCATACGTCTTCATGGCAAGTGCTTAACGAATTCAGCACAGGGACAACTTCACTGTTCTGATTTTCGATAATAGCGGCAGAAGTAGGGGCCGAACCTACTCACGCTCTACATGAACCCGGGTCAGCACAAGTTTAGTAATCAAGGAGTCTTGAATTCAATACTATTTCCCACAGGACCTGAATTTCGCAGGAAAATACAGCAGCCAGTCACAATAGGGGGCTGGGGAGTAGCCTTCAGCTGAGGCCGTCAGCTGCATCAGCTGTTACGTGGCAGCGGCACGAGACGCTTCTGTCCTGAACAGTCAAGTGCAGTACAGTGACGCCAAGTTCTACCGTTTCGCGAAGGAAAGTGTGTGGTTTGAAAAATGCAAAACAGATGGTACATGAAGAAGGGAGAGACTCATATAAACAGTATAACAGGCACGCGGAGGACGAAGATGAGGATTTTTTATTTACTTTTTATTATTCTTAGTGGGGTGAGACAGTCGACTTGGTACTGTGGCCACTGCTGGCCTATTGTAGCAGATGATAGATGATGGTGATTGTGGAGCAACTGGTTGAATGAAGACAGGCGGGGGAAACCGAAGTACTTGGAGAAAACCTTCCCCAGTGCCACTTTGTACATCAGAAATCCCACATGATCTGAGCCGGATCAAACTCAGGCCGTCGCGGTGGGAAGCCAGCGACTAACCGCCTCAGCTATGACACGACCCAAGATGAGTTAGCTCACCTTTGCTCAATTTCTAAGATCTCTTGGCAACAGTTGTCAGTTCCGATCTGTACCATGTGACCTGACCTGAACCGAACTATAGCCGGCCCACTCCTCACTCCCCCCCCCCAACCGCCTTGTTTCACAGCTTCAAGAGAAAAGGAACAAACTATAACCACAAGGAACAGCCGACGCCCGAAGTGTCCTGACAATGGCCGACGTGACTGCGGTACATGGGCTGTGAGTGCAACTTTGTGACAAACCATAAACATGCTGCGTGTTGAATACATTATAACTTATTGTTGGATCATACATTCAACTTACCTGGACTTCGGTTTCTCGTCCACAAATGGCACGGGCACGAAAGTCACCATAGAAGTGAGAGTGAACTTCTGGCGGTCCGAGGAACTATCAAGTGCCCAGTGCACTGCCTGGAATCTGAAATTCCAACAGAGATAAATCAGTTCACATACTATTTCCTGTTATTTCGCCTGAACTAACCAAACTTCATGGAGTCTATTTTGAGAAGTCGACAGTCTCTCAACCTAGCCAAGAAATACTCAACTCATTATGGACACGGCAACTGACCCTATCCTGTAATAGATGAATCCACTCAATACCACATTTCTTCAGGAACCTCTTTAGTATTATCCTCTCATCTACGCTTAAGTATCCGAAACAGTCTTTTCAGTTCAGGTTTTCCCAATAACATTATGTATACATTTTTCATCTCCCCTTCGTGGGCTAACTGAATATCTCGGACCCCTTAATTTAATCATCATCAAGACAAAGGCCTTCAGAGCTATGCCGGCTCAACTGTCTTTCCATTTTTTTCTGGGCATTCCAACGTCCCTTTCTACTACTGGTTTATAGACGAGGAAGAATTCTGCTAATCTAAATCATCTAGCATTTCTACATGCTGTAACAATTTCGATTTAGATTTAGTTCTTCAGTAGTTTCCTCCTTCGCCTATTAGTTCCTTCCTCACAGATCCAAGTGAAAATGCAAGCAAGGTTGCAACAGAGAGAAAGTCGGTCTGTCTCTCTTAATCTTGAGCCCCTTTTGGTTCTGCTTAAAAAATGGCAGCGTTTTTCGTTTAGGAGCGTCCTCTCTGACGAGAAGACGGGTCTGTTCTTTGCCAAGACAGTGTCTTAGTCACTGTCATTATAGGGTTTCATAATTTTACGCAGTTCCATCTTTACGTAAGTAACACGTGTACCATGGCTTCTATCAATCCAGGCTTTCTTACGAAGTTCATGCCCCAATGGCAGTTTGGGAACGGTCGGAGCTTCACAAGCACCAGATTTAAGTTTCTAATATTTTGTGTGTCTGGCTTCACCTTGTTCAGAGGTCCAACAGTTCATAGCACCCTCTGCTGTTACACTCTCAACGACACCCTTCCTTTAGGGTAGGATTATGTCTGTCTAAATAGGAACAATACAGAGATTGGTAACAGTATGTTGGGAGGGATACCATCTATATTGAAAAGCTCCGTGGAAAATCATGTCACATCGGGTTTTGTTTAAATCAGATTAATGTAACAGCATTTTAATTCTGAGGATCAAAAATTCATCACGCTTACGTGTGAAGCTCAGTGAAATAAATGAATACGTTTGCGTGTGGATGTGACGTACGTGTTAATCTGTTAAATTTCACAGGAATGGAAATTTGTATTCCCGTAGAATACACATAATTTACAAATGCATTCTTTGCGGGGTTTCATACTTCTTTGACTCTGATGTTCATTCATTGCACATGGAAACCAGGAAATGCGAACCTCACCCTTATACAAATTTCACCCTGTATGGAGTGAGAGAATATTTTTGTCTGTTTTCACGTAACGAAAAATGTTAGAAGCAAAACCAGTACAAGACGATCTAATTTTATGACATGGACCAATCTTCCGTGCGATAATTTATTTCCGAGAAAAATGTTCAAATAAATTTTCATCCTAATACAGTAACTGGAGTCGTAACAGACAAATCAAATTTTCCCGAAATGTGAAACTATGCAGGGCCGTTAGTTATGATAAAGATCAACATCTTGGAGAACTTCATTACGACATATTAAACAATTTGTGTGCAAAGGGGACAGACAGCACTAGCGGATTGCGACTGCGCAAAGCAAAGGCAGGCCATCCGCCTGTAATTAAATTTATTGTGCCAGAGAAGTCGCAAAGGACCTGGGGAGCTAGAGGCAGGGCAACTGAGTTCCCTTCTGAGGAAAGATCCTTGTATTTAGTGATCTAGGATAACATAAAAAGTTCTTGACTTTTTCTTTAACAAACTTTACTGAAAGTTTTAATTCTGTATCTACTAAAGATTGGCCCTTAAGTAAGAATGTAATAATGTGTTGACAGACATACACATGAAGAATGCCGTATTCTGAGATGTGGCACCGTGTAGATCATGTGTAAACCGATGTTTCGGAGGAACATCGGTTCATACAAGATCTACACGGCGCCACATCCCAGAAGACGGTATTCTTCATAGTTCTTCTACTTCTTCTTCTATGGCGCAACAGGCCGATGTCGGGCCTTGGCCTCCCTTATCAAGCCCCTCCATTCCTCTCTATCCTGCGCTGCTCTCTTCCAGTTCCTTACACCCATTAACTTCTTTGCATCTTCTTCCACCGCATCAATCCATCTAGTTCTTGGTTTCCCAGCACGTCTCCTACCACCTATTGTGCTGTATAATATTTTCTTTGGGATACGCTCCTTATCCATTCTCTGTACATGCCCAGCCCATTGCAATCTTTTAAGCTTTATCGTCACTGAGATCTCTGGCTCCTTATATAATTTGTATAACTCTTTATTATATCTTATTCTCCATATCCCATTCTCTTTTATTGGTCCATAAATTCGTCTTAGGATTTTCCTCTCGAAAGAACTGATGACTGATTCCTCTTTCTTGTTTAGCGTCCAACCCTCACATCCATAATAAAGCACCGGTCTTATCATTGTTTTATAAATTTTTCTTTTAATCGCTCGGTGTATATCCTTTGATGTAAAAACTGATAGTAACGAGACATATCCACTATTCGCTAGTTTTATTCGTCTTGTTATTTCATGATTTTCCTCTCCATCTTTGTGGAATTTCGATCCTAAATGTATGAAGTTTTCAACTATTTCTATCCCGTCCCCTTCCATGTTAATTTCTCCAGTTTGCCTTGGATTCCTTTTAGATTGTATCAGCATTTTAGTTTTATTTACATTCACCTCTAAGCCAGTTGTTTTTGCTATGGTTTTTATTTCTTTATATGGCTGTTGCGCCATAGAAGAAGAAGTATGTAGAGCTGATGATCAAGTTCATTCTTCAGAGTTACCGCCGTGTAAACCTCAAACCTTACACAGACATACACATGTTTACACAACTTTGTTCTCCTTGTGAAAAACAAGTGATCGCTAGACCTCACTCAGCCTGCTTTCCTGATGCATATAGATCTAGCCTCACAGATCTACTACAGTTGTTTAACTTTCTTCATTTTTCAGTTTACATATTATCGTCTTCAATGCAACATTTCTCTTATCCTATTGCATCATGTTTCGGCCGCATAGGTCACCATCACGCATGCATGAGTCCTGTTAAAACTGTTTCACTGTGTGCTCCATTCCATGACACGATTATATTCGATGTTAATTTGTACACAGAAATAATTAAAAGTTCAATGAAATACATCCTTTAAAATTCAGCTGTGCTGCAGTCGGTGGGTGGCACGGTGTGCATGTTATGTGTGTTATAGCGCCGCATGCTGTATTTATATTTACATGTTATGTGTGCCGCGGTAGCTTCTATAGATACAAATCACTTTTGGGTTGGTTGTATTGCTGTCCGTGTACGGAGATCATGAACATTAATGCAACAGGATGCTTAAGTACAACATTCTTAATTTTTGTTAACAACCTACTCTTTAAGTAGAGATTTTGTGTACGTTCTTACGTCAAATTTGTTTCACGCAACCTCAAACTTCCGCCCTCTTCCAAAATTCGTGTACGTAAGTGTAGGCATGTTAATAGACTATCTCAGTGCTAAAACGCACACGCTTAGCTCCTATGATTCAATAGCCATCACAATAAAACTAACAGCCAAAGCACATTTTTGCATGGCTGTTATGTTGTTTTTTTTTCCTCTCTATGGCTCTACAGCCCTTTGGACCTTGGTCGCTTTTTCAGTCTCTTAATCCAATATACAGAAGGCAGGGCTCCTTGGACGAGTGATCAGCCCGTCGCAAGGTCGCTACCTACACACAGAACAACATTAACACCAAGACATACATGTATCGAGTGAGATTCGAACCCGCGATCCAAGTGTTCGAGCGGGCGAGGAGGGTTCATGCTTTAGAGCGCGCGGCCACTGTGATTGGCTGTCAAGTTGTTACTCGTTTATATAAAAGAGTATACTTTTCCAAGACCCATTAGCATACATCACTCAAGAATCATTACACAATTTCGTGGGTCAGCTATGTTGTCGCTTGTGTTGCTAACTGTAGGAAACAGGAGTGGGCCCCAATGGAGTAAATTCCATAAGATGTTTCGTGGAATCGGTCATCTGATTCAAATGTTGAATTGTGAGGACATATACAGAAACATGTACATACACAAACACACAGCATTGTGATCTTACACGTTTATTTATGTCTTTTTATGAAAAGGAAAAACCCCCAAAAGTATGCTCACGAGATCGCCGTGCTGGGTGCTCCCCATTCAACTTCTGAACCAAATGATCGATTTTCACAAAATGTGGTATGAAATTGTGTGAAACTTGGTCTCTGACATTAAGGGAGGAACATAGACTGAGGGAGTTTGAGAACAGGGTGTTGAGGAGAATATTTGGACCGAAGAGAGATGAAGTGACAGGAGGGTGGAGAAAACTGCACAATGAGGAGCTTCATAACTTGTGCTACATGTTTAGTATAATTAGAATGATGAAGTCAAGGATGAGGTGGGCAGGATATGTAGCACGAATGGGGGAGACGAGGAATGTGTATAGGATATTGGTGGGAAAGCCAGAAGGAAAGAGACCACTGGAAAGACCAAGGCGTAGGTGGGTGGACAATATTAAAATGGATCTTAGAGAGATAGGATGGGATGGTATGGATTGGATTCATCTGGCTCAGGATAGGGACGAGGGGAGGGCTCTTGTGAACACGGCAATGAACCTTTGGGAAATTCTTGAGTGGCTGCAGAATTGGCGGCTCCAAAAGAGCTAAGCTCCATGAGTAAGTAAGTATTATTTATTTTCTTTATTGCTAGTGGGGTGGGACTAAGTCCCTTGTACTGCGGCCATTTCTGGCCTATTGTACCACCCCCAGATGATAGGTGAGGGTGATTGTGGAGCAATTGATGGAGTGAAGATTGACAGGTGAAACCGAAGTACTCGGAGAAAACCTGCCACAGCGCCACTTTGTTCACCACAAATCCCACTTGACCAGACCCGGGA